CACATACGAGAAAGTCTTTCGTTCGACTTTGACTTCCGGTCTCGCCCGATTAAGGACCTTGAGAAATTCGTTAGTCTTCGCCCGTATTAGCGATCGAAGGTACGCCTAAACAAATTGTCCGTTAAGCAATATTTGACGATCTGTTTTTCTGTAAGCCCTGGAGCCTCACATTATTTTCGTCCAAACTTTATTTCCTCATCTTAGGCCTATTTTGCCATTATGTCAGCATCAACATGTGCAATAAAATAGCATTGCTAATAAAAATACCTTGAAAATTTCACCTTTAGGAAAAATTGCCATCACAGATGAAACCGATTAAAATTATAAAAAGATGCCTACCGTTGCTTGCACAAAGTTTAAAAAGTCAAACCACTGTTGGTTTGCAGCATCTGAATTCAATATGGATAAATTTCACAAACTTTCGGAATCTAAACTGACAGCTGTTACTCAGATTTCGTTTCGAACTATTGTGTATATGCGCCATATGAGCCACCTGAGCATTTTTGGAACAGTATGATAACATTTCAATAGGGTATGGATGAGGATTGCCAGAAGAGATCAGAGCTCACAGTCGTGACCAACGCTGAAGTGATTACTGCCAAGACCGACTTTACAATCCAAATCAAAAGTAGACGGCGTGAGCGTGATGATACCTGAGACTCTAAGATTCCACAACTATCTGAGTAAGTCTTTTGGCCATCAGCGAAGTGTTCATCTTAGTTCATCTAAGTGCCGGTATACAGGGAATCAACGCAAAGGTGCTACTGCTGACATCTTAAAACTGTCGGCAGATATGCATTTTTCTATACAGGTCTGAAGAAAGATGACGAGCACTGGCAAACAACAGTCGAAGATGAAAGCTTAATTCAACTAAAACAGTGTCTTACTAGAAAGAGAATAAACAATATCTCGTGAGGCCCACTGAACGCTGGACCAAAGTAGCTGTTCATTGCGTTTAATCGACAGTAACACCTGTGGTAAGTCAATACGTCATTTAGTATTTCCGGGTTTTCCATTTGACATTCACAACTGCGCTCGTGCTAGTCAATAATCATATCCTTGCCAGATTTTGCTTCACTTTGCTCGTGATTGCTCCTTGACTGTTGCCATTTTATCAGCCTTAGAAAACGCTAAAGTAAGAGAAGCTGCTTACCTTCGAACACTTGATGTGGTAATGCAGATAGTCACGGAAGATGTGAACCAAGTTGATGGTATTGTTTCGGGCGGCTTTGTTCGTGTGCCTCGGAAAAAACACTAAATAAGTTTTCAATTTCAAGCAGCAAATCTTCAAAATGCTTTGATGATGGAAAAATCTTAGAGCAATAAGCACGACGGATTTAGTGATTAAAGAAATATCTGGTAAAAAAGCTAAAACTTATGAGTGATAAAGAACGACTGTCAGAGTAGAAAACGAAACTGAAATTTTGAAGGTGATAGAAGCAAGAAATAGTGTTGGAGAAAAGGCAGCTGACGAGAGGGTTTCAAATAACCACAGGAAGAAATCATCGCTTTAGTGCAAGCCACAATGCTGGGGTATCGACAACGAATTTTAACGGATAAGCTTAAAAAATAACTGAAGGTTCTCAGTCGTCAAAGGGATTGAAAAAAGAAACGACATGGAAAATGTTCCCTTTAATTAATGCCGATAAAAAATTAACGGTTTAAGTTTGTTTTAGGGAACTAAAGCATCGGCAGGCAAGTATGAGTGTGTACACCAGGGAATTGAAATGAGTATGAAGTGATGTAAGGTGTATCCATCATGCGGATAATGCCTTACCTACTTTTAACCTGGCAACATTACGCTGTACTGTTAGAATAGTCAGAAGTACAATTTCCCCAACATCTAAAGTAAACGATGGTGTGCGGACCCAATAAGCATCCGGAAACCACAAAAGAACTCAGAATGTATTTCAAGAATATCTTTAGGCACCCCGGCTTTAAAGACAAGGTCTGTCATTCCCTGGTTACGCATTCCATTAATCTCTGGCAGGCAATAGCATACTCTGACATGCTGACTTCATAGACGCATTGTTGCGAAGTACGGATAAAATTTGACGCAGTTTCGACTAGTTATGAGTTTTACATCTGATGTCTACTCAGTAATTATGATTAGCCTTTTTCTACTCACTACTTGATGAATGCTTGTCCAAGATTGTCAAATGAGGACCATGGCTTCAGTTGTGATTTCACTTGAAGAATTTGGCAATAACTCGTCACGCTGGCTAGACGTGTTGGTTCTTCAACTTAATCTGGTATATTTCGCAAGCTAAGACT